CCCCTGGAGTACCAGCTGCTGAAAACCAAGGGAGGCAAGAGTGCTTGGATTCTGCTTCTGGGTTTCCCACAGGCATCTGGTTGGCCACTGTGAGAACAGGATGCTGGATTAGATGGGGCATTGGCCTGATCCAGCAGGCTCTTCTTATAATTATTCCTCACGCAACAAGTACTGCGACTGTGAGCAGTGGGAGAAGCCAGTGGAAAAGCAGCCCAATGTTCTGAAGATGTTTTTAGTGTCTTTGTTCCAGCGAAGTCTACTTGTCTGGAGTAAATGGGGAGCCAGACCTTGTGCATTTGTGGCCACAACTACTTTCTTCAGTTTAAAGCCAGGTTCACGAAGGAGCACTGATTTCTTTCTGAGGATCCACAAGGAGTGTTCCTTAAGACCAGGGGTCAGCAACCTAAGGCCCATGGGCCAGAAGCAGCCCCCGGAGGTCGTTTGACCGGCCCACGAGCAGCCCCTGAACTGAGCTGCCCACTCTCGCACTGCACTACACCAGCGCAGTGCACCGCAGCGCGGGGACTTGCTTCCACGGCGCCGAAAATTGCGTCTACGCATGTGCAGATGCCGGAAATCACGGGCGCTCGTGATCTGGCCCATGGAGGGATCTCTGTGGGACCGATCCGGCCCAGGCAAGATAAACCTTGCTGACCCCTGCTTAAGACCATCCTTTGAAGCAAAGGAATGTTATGTATTCCATCAAGCCTTCCAGTATTAGGGCATTAAAAAAAAAAGTGTTTAGTGATTGAAAGCAAGTACATTAGCTTTTTGACAAAGAAGCTTATGATGACAGTCCTCCATAATAGCTTTTCTATTACTGTAGATCACAATGCTTAAGGTTTCTTTTTTATTAATGCAAATGATATGAATCCCGAATATCAACAGGTCATAGCAAATAGCTTTCCGCAGCGTTTGGACACTGAAACAGTTGTAATATATTTTTCTCTCCCATTTTCATGTAATACTGCTGTAAGACCACAAGAGGAGAGCAATTTTTAATTCACACTTGTGGGTGTTCAAAATCCACTTTAAAAAACAAACACCCCCCCCCAAAAAAAAATCCCTTTCCCTTTTTAATTTGGTTTCTTTCCTCGGAGATGCCAAGATGTAGACTGTCATGACAGATGGGTTGAGATCGGAGAGATATGGTACACAACATTTCAGAAGCAGCAAATCACTGCTTCATAATACCTTCTAAATATGCCCACAGAGTGCCTGTGATGCTGAATAAAGGCAAACTTATAGAGAATATGGGCAAAACCTTGCTGTTTCCCTCCCTCAAAAAAATCAGAGGTGGGGTGGGTGACAGGATGGTGACACAAACAGATCCACTCAGTGTGATCAAGGATTCATGCAAATGTCTACTGAACATTTTTGGTACAGGAGTGAAAACCCTCTTCCTCTCACCATTGAGAGGTAAGTGGTGAAAAAGGCTAATGTGTGGATATGACCTTTTTGGATGGAAGGAGTGGGGAGAGGACCTTAAGATCCACAAATAACAACACTTTGGAGGTCCCAAGCTGCAAGGTGGTTAGACTGGTCTCAACTAGGGCCAGGGCCTTTTCAGTACTGGCCCCGACTTGGTGGAACACTCTGTCACAAGAGACAAGGGCCCTGCGGTACTTGACATCTTTCTGCAGGGCCTGCAAGACAGAGCTGTTCCGCCTGCCCTTTGGTTTGGACTCAGTCTGACCCTTATGTTTCCCTCCCATTATGGTTTTGATTCATGGGCTACAATTAAAATGAGGCTGCATTTTAAATTGTATTTTAACCCGTATTTTAATAAACTGGTTCTCTCCCTCCCCCCCATTATGTTTTATTGCAATTTTATTGGTGTTAGCCACTCTGAGCCCTGCTCTGGCCGGGGAGGGCGGGGTATAAATAAAAATTTATTATTATATTATTTTTATAACTGAGAATTAAATGCCATGATGGCTAGTGTCCTTTGAGGCTGGTTGGTGTGGTGAAGGCAGGGAGATCAAGTGGAGTCAATGACAGGCAAGTCTGGTTTTATTCCCGTTGCCTTCCCTCCTAAGTTCTACAAGGGCAATACAACAGAGGAGGACTCAGTGAACAGGCAGCGACACTTTATGGAGTCATTGTTAGTCAGAAAGCAGGAAAGTTGGGGGCTGGCTGAGTGCAGAATGAGATGGGCGGGGCCCCATTTGCTCAGGTGGACCAGCCACCACCGATTCAATTTTGAGGGTCTTTCCCATTCATTCATTCAATCAAATTTAAAGTACCAAACAGCTTGCCTCTCAGCCCACCTGGCTCTCGTACACTTTTTACCAGGCAGAGGGCCTTCTCGGTAGTGGCACCCGCCCTGTGGAACACCCTCCTACCAGATGTCAAAGAAAACAACCACGACCAGACTTTTGGAAGACATCTGAAGGCAGCCCTGTTGTAGGGGAGCTTTTAATGTTTGATGGACTACTGTATTTTAATATTTTGTTGGAAGGCACCCAGAGTGGCTGGGGAAACCCAGTCAGATGGGTGGGGTATATTATTATTATTATTATTATTATTATTATTATTATTATTATTATTATTATTATTAACTTGCTTAGTGAATATGCCACTCCCTTGGAATTATACAATGCCACCTCTATTGGCAGGGGGAGGGGGGATGCCTGAGCCCTGTCCGTGGAGGGAGCCATCTTTCCCTGCACAGTGCCATAGCAATGATATATCATTCACCAACACATACCATCCATGTCCAGGGAGAGGCATTTTTACCTGGCAAAATTTCAAAGCACGCAGCAACCAGGCAGGCTTGTAGCCAAGTCACGCAGAGTTTTTAAAATAATAACAACAACAACAACAACAACAGAGTGGGGAAGGAAGTTTCAGTCACATTATGAATAGGAGGGGGAAAAGATTGGAGATGCTACGGTGGACAGGTTCTCACCAATTGCTGCTGCTATGGAGGGTCATTTTGTAAACATTTAAACTCACATTTAATGGTCACAAACTGTACTCTATGCAGTCCATTCTCTGGCCACTGCTGAGGGCAGCCCAGCTCACTTAAATGCCCAGGGAGCGGACCTAAGGGAAGAATGCATCCCTGAGGTGCACTTCCCAAGCCCTGGCCTCCAGGTCGCCGCAGATTGGCCAATTTAAACTGTGGGCCTGGCGGTGCCCTCGATGCTCCATGATGGCTGAGAGGGAGCAGAAACAGCCGCGGGGCAAAGGAAAGTGTGTGTGTGTGTGTGTGTGTGTGTGTGTGAGTGTGACAACTGTGTGTATATATAAATCATAGAGTGGTACTTCTGGTTACGTACATAATTTGTTCCGGAGGTCCGTTCTTAACCTGAAACTGTTCTTCACCTGAGGTACCACTTTAACTAATGGGGCCTCCCGCTGCCGACGCACGATTTCTGTTCTCATCCTGAAGCAAAGTTCTTAACCCGAGGTACAGTTTCTGGGTTAGTGGAGTCTGTAACCTGAAGCGTATGTAACCTGAAGCGTATGTAACTCAAGGTACCACTGTACTTCATATATATGTGTGTGCACTTTTAAAGTGCCACAAGACCCCCAAACAGCGGCAGAGCATATGCCCACGCTGCCCAGGGCGGGTGCCCTTCCGAGGAGGGTATGGCATGCTCCCAAGGGGGGGGCGTGGCACGGAGGGTGCCCTCCCAGTCGTGGTATAGCCGCTCAGGTGCCCGGAGCAGCACGCGCGCCCTGCAGCCGGGGGCAGAGCAAGCTGCCCACCGCAGACATTCGGCGTGCTGCCCACCCGTGACTCCCAAGCCTCCCCCAAGCAGTCAAAACGAAGGGGGAAGTGGGGAATGCCGCCGGCAAAGCGGCGCAGCTCCCCCCCTTACCCCTACGGCTCGGCGTAGGCTTGGGAGTTGCAGGCAGACGGCGCGCCAAATGTCACCCCCCTCAGTGAGGGCACCCGTGGCTGTCTGCCCCCCCTGCCCCCCTTCCTACGCCCCTGCCCCCAAAACCTCAAGTTAGGAATGTGCAGTGGGGGAATATTTAGAGAAATGTTGTCAGTTTTCCCTGGAAATGCCTCAAATGCTTTGCTGGCATAAGAACTGTGCTTAAAATGTTGCTTTGGGTGAGATCTGATAACAACCTAGCATGTGCAGACAACAAGCCCGGCTCCTCCTCCCGTTCAGAAATGCCACTAGCCTTGTTGAAATTCTTTCCATCCCTCCAAAATTTCCCTAGAGAGGCTATTCCTCGCTTTAGAGGCCTGGTGTGACCCCCGAGCAAAGCCCACCCCCCTTGCCCAAAGAGCAGCAGCAAAAATAAAATAAAAATAAAGTCAAGGCACAACTTAGTGCCATAATGGGGATACAACTTGCCCCCTTCCCATCGGATTGATAGTTTCATGAGCAAAGGGTAGCCAGCAATCCTCTGTGCACAGATAAACTGAGAAGATAAACTTGCGTGCTGTGAGTATGGGTTGGCCACGCTTACTCCTGGCTCACACAGCCCTGGTGGCTTGGCCAAGGGTGAAAGTTTAGCCACAGACATCCGCCATGTTTTTATTTTTTGCTTTTGCACTGAGTGAAATTGCAGTGGTCGGCGCCACCTAAAATTGTGCAGTCGAATGGCTAGAGTGTTGGAATAAGACCTAGGAGACCAGGGTTCAAATGCCCACTCATCCAGGAAATTTGCTGGGTGACCTTGGGCCAGGCATAGTCACACAGCCTAACCTACCTCACAGGGTTGTTGTGGGGATTAAATAAGGAGGGGGAGAACCATGTGCGTTGATGTGGCATTTGCCCTTTCGTTTAGAGCCTGTCTGTACAGGGGGAAAAGAAAGAGTTAAAAATGTAGACCAATAGGAAAGCTGGAGGCGGAGCCTACATGTGTATAATAGGGCTTAGCCCGAGGTTTGTTAGAGTTGTCGGTGGGTTGGTTGTCGTGGGTTGGCTGGTTGGGAAAGGCAGTTGGAGAAGCAGTTGGCAGGCAGTTGGAAATAGAGAGACAGGGTAGTGGGTTCTTGAGTGAGGGGAGGTTGAAGAGATAGAGAGAGGAAAACAAGACTAAGGAAGTAAAGAGTAACAACGTTTGGAATGCCGGAAAAGTTCGTTTGTGTCTGAAATAAAATACACTCTTCTTTATTTATTTATTTTTTATCATTTTTATTCAGTTTCCAACATACATTCCATCCATATAACATCTACTTCTAACATATACATCTTTAAGACTTCCCTCAGCCTATCTGACAATTTCCATATAATCACAATTACTCACATTTCTTAAATTTATATTGCGCTTTAACAATCTTAATCTTATCATATCTTTTAAGCAACATTTCTATCTTTCATTCTCACAGAGCTTCTTGAAAACCAACAAGCGTTATTTGCTTCTCACATACATTTTTGATATACTCTGTAAATTTATTCCAGTCCTCGGTGAATCTCTGATCACGTTGGTTCCGCACTCTTCTTTATTAATTGAGAACCTGACTGAGGCTGAAGTGATTTTACCAGTGAGGACCTAGTTGGTGGCAGCGGATTAGTGGTGTACGGATCAATAGTCCGTGAGACGACCGGGGGCTCTGTACGAACACCACAGTCACCTTGATTAAAAACCCATTAATCGCTAGTTAAGAAAGTCAAAGCCTATGCATATTAGTTTGCACAAGTTTGCATTTCCCGGTATCATTCTCGGGAGGAAGGAGTTTAAGGTTTCCAGCCTTTATTATTGGGCTCCAAAGAAACAGTTCTAGAGTTGAGCCAGGTGTTGAAAGACACACATACACCCTTGCGTGGCTCTGTCATATTCTTTGGCCATGTGAGAAAATGACCCCCACCGCTGCCCTGCTTCCTTTTGGAATCCATTCAGCTGTCAAATCAATTCCTTTCTCTGCTTTCGTATTGTTAGCTAAGAAGACAAGGATTCCCTCACAACGTAGCTTTTTAAAGTCTGGTCGCTGATTGAGCTTTCATCAAATAAGAGGCCTGAAGAGAGTTAAGAGTTAGATGTTTCAGGGCTTCTCAGGAGAAAGAAAAGGAGGACGAAGAGAAAGCTGTGGACGGCAGTTACAAAGGTAAAGGTTAACTCCTCTCTCTTTTTTTGGTAATCCACTTTTTTTGCCTATATAAAACTTCATGTGAAAAACAGGTACATCAAGTAACTGTTTTCAATGCACATTATCCCTTGCAAAATGTAAGTTTCTGGCAAAAACATATTCCTCAGTTTGCTTCATGGTCACATCCACACCGTCCATTTAAAGCACTTGCCCAAAGAATCCTGGGAATTATAGTGTGCTGAGGGTGCTGGGAATTGCAGCCCCGTTCAGGGTAATGTACAGTTCCAGGATTCTTTGGGGAAAGCCATGTGATTTGAAGGGATTCTGTGGATGGGACCAGCTCTTGCCAAGCTGCCAATATACTTCTGGGCCACGTTCAGGATTTTGTTACTAGTTTACAAAGCTCTAAGCTATTTGGGACCAGGATACCCAAGACACTGCCTTCTCTCCTCCAGATCCATCTGATGATTGAGAACATCAGGTGAGGTCCTTGAGTGGTCCTTGGCTGGTACCTGCTCCACAGGTTTACCTGGCAGCTACTCGGAGGAGAGCTTTCAGTGTTGTAGATACTGGCCTGCAGAATACGCTCTCATTTGCATAACTAACCAATTGAGAGACCAGGCTGTTTTTCTTTTCTTAGAGCCACAGCTTAGTGGCAGATCATCTGCCTTGCCTGCCCAAGGTCCCAGGTTCCTCTCCAGCTCGGCCTGGGAGAGTCAGGGTAGGCAGTGCTAAGCTTGGTGGATCATTCTGGTCTGGCTTGGTATAAGGCAGCCCCAGATGTTCCTAGATAGAATCCAGCAGAGCTCGTGAGATTTTGTAATTAATATTAAATTTCCATGTTCCAACTCTTGTGATTTATTTGATGCATTTGTATCCCGTTTTTCCTCCAAGATGCTCAAGGCGGTGAGCAAAAGATGATTCCATTTATACAAAAACCCGCTCTGTGAAGCAAGTTGGATGGAGAGATGCAACATAACCCACAGCCACCCAAGGATCGTTGCGGTGGAGCACAGCAGGAATTTGAACCTGGGTTCAATGTGAATATTTAGGTGGATTTGAAAACATTCCTGTTCACCCAGGCATTTGATGGCTGAAAGATCTTGTTACTGGCAACCTTGAAATTATTTAGTGGTGAGGATATTTGATCGTTCCTAAAAGTTTTTACAATCTTTGTATTGTTTTTCTTGTTTGCTGCCCTATCTCTTTATCTGCTTATTTTTCTGTCCACTATGACATGTTGTCCTCTACAGATCTGACCACCATCATCCCCCCTTGTTTGCGAATCACCAAGGCTAAGAAACCAGTCCTGTTGAGGTCAACAGATTTCCTTATTATCAAAAAGGAACATAAAGAAGAAATATTAGAGTAAATGATGCTCTGGATCCTGACAAGCTTGACAATGCCTGTCTTTTGACATTTTATTTTTATAGGTCTCTTAATGGTCCCATTGGACTCTTAATGCTCTTTGCTTCTTTATATATATATTACGGCAACACACACACACACATTTGATTAATATTTTATGGCTACCTGGGTTGCCAGCAGCTCTCATAAATTTCATGGAGGGCTATTTCTGAGGGATATTAATGTGAGAATTCCCTGTTGTTGAGGAACAGTATCAATCACTTAAGCATCAATACCTACATGCCAAAAGATGTATCGCTACAGCTTCTTTAAAGAGTCCTTTACAACTCACATCTTCCAAGTGCCACTTAGGCTGTTGATGAATGATCTTTGAGGTGATCTTTCTCCTTGACCAGCATGGGTTAATATCCATATGAACATTTCTGCATCGACATCCTGGAAGAGACCACCAAGCTGAATGCAGCTCCCCAGTTATGCATAGGGTGAGGTCTGCCAGATGTTTGACATACCCCACCTGCAGTAGCTGACAAGCTTGTTGGGGTGGAGGTGCTTCTCTGACCTCCTGGCAATTCTGCTATGTTTGTTGTTGTTGCTGTTGTTATTGTTGCTGAGTCATGTAGTCGTGTCCGACTCTTCGTGACCCCATGGACCAGAGCACGCCAGGCACTTCTGTCTTCCACTGCCTCCCGCAGTTTGGTCAAACTCATGCTGGTAGCTTCGAGAACACTGTCCAACCACCTCGTCCTCTGTCGCCCCCTTCTCCTTGTGCCCTCAATCTTTCCCAGCATCAGGGTCTTTTCCAGGGAGTCTTCTCTTCTCATGAGGTGGCCAAAGTATTGGAGCCCCAGCTTCAGGATTTGTCCTTCCTGTTTACTCCCAGGTAAAGTATAAGGTTGCAGCCTTAGAAATGTGGTCTTGAGGGAAAATAGATTTTGGAATGTATGTTTGGTGAGAAACACATGATCAAAATACTTTTTTTTTTAACGCAGATTTTGCGGGAGGCAGTGGAAGACAGGAGTGCCTGGCGTGCTCTGGTCCATGGAGTCACAAAGAGTCGGACACGAATAAACGACTAACAACGACAACAAAAAGGTGGAAACAGGACAGAAGAGGCTTGTAGGAAATGTCCGCCCCTACATAGTTCACAAGTTGTGCAGGCGAACTGGCTCATGATAATTTCTGGTCGACAACGATGTTGAAAGGCAACCAAATTTCAAATTTCCCTCTCCCTCCATTTTGTCTTCATGGAGCTTTGAGCTTGTGAAAGACGCAAACCAAACTGGGGAGCGAAGATGCAGTGCTTGGTTCTCTGGGGAATTTACCTCAGCGGAAGCAACGGGAGAATTCACAGTTCTCCAATCTGCTGCACCAGCACTGGCTGAGTTGAGTTGAGGAGGAAAAAGGGAGGAGGGGTTCTGTCTCCAAACTATTTCAGTCCTGGCCACCATTCACTTTTGCTGAGCATGCCAAATATGATGGCTGATTGAATCCCTTGGAAGTTACATTGGAGACCACCAAAGACTTGATGAACATCAAATAGCAATTAGGCTGTGAACCTTTGGTTACACTCAAGCTGAGCTGAATTTCAGCCAAAAAACTGAAGGATGGGAAGCTATACGTTCCATTACCCATCTCTGGAGTCATTCAGTTTCCCAAGATAGAGCGCGGGTCTTCCCCACCAAGAGCTAATCATTAGCTCAGTGAGATTCCTTCTGGGATGACAACATAGACAAGTGGTCCTGCAAGTAGTCCTCCTTTTTATCCAGTTGCTTATATTGTGGAAGTCTAAAATAATTAGTCTGCTGTAATGAGAGACCTGTCCCTCTTTTTCTCCTTTTTACAATCTTGCGTTCACTTCTTCACATTTCCACATCAGTTTGCATTTAAAATCTTCTTAAAAATTCCTCAGCAATTTAGCTAAGTATTTTTTGTGTGTGTGCAAGCACTATCTTTCTATTATAATGTACGGTATTTTAATAAGCTAGTTTCAGTAAGATGCACATTTTATCCTAGCATATGCTGCCCATTACATGACTGGAGACCTGCATTGCAAAATATGATGGATATGTTTCAGTTCATGTAATGATTCAGGAAGCGTGGATTTGGTAGGTTCGCCTTCAAATGCAAACAAGAACTGAATTTCTCCCTGATTCCTGTCTGCCTGCAAACAGAGAATACTGCCCAAACTCCCTTCAACTATAATTGCCCTGAGATCATTGGATGAATTTCTGGCTCTTCTGTCGGTAACTAAATTCACGCTTAAATTTCACTTCCCAAGATTCATTACATGAAGGTGTGACTGTTTAAAGTGGCATGGCACACTGCTTTAAAACTATACATTGGTACCTCAGGTTAAGTACTTAATTCGTTCTGGAGGTCCGTTCTTAACCTGAAACTGTTCTTAACCTGAAGCACCACTTTAGCTAATGGGGCCTCCTGCTGCTGCCGCGCCACTGGAGCCCGATTTCTGTTCTTATCCTGAAGCAAAGTTCTTAACCTGAAGCACTATTTCTGGGTTAGCGGAGTGTGTAACCTGAAGCATATGTAACCTGAAGCGTATGTAACCTGAGGTACCACTGTAGTGTGAATGGGGCCTAGAAAACTAGCAGTCTAGAGCTTGACCTCAGTTTACCTCTCTATGCAGTGTAGTGTTGCCCAGTCAGAAACATCCCAGAAGCTGAGATTTCATGGCCCAAACCTGAGACCTAGGGGTAGCTGCTGGTGATGTTACAGGGGTGGGCTGGAGATGGCAGTTATATAAGAGAGGAAGGCAGGACACACACACACACACACACACACACACACACACTTAAAGGGACTATGAAATAATTTAAATCTGGCTCCTGCTGAACCAGAGCTTGCAAGCTGTGTGCGCAATTTTAAAATAATAAAATATTAAGAGTACGCCTGGAGATTCAAGCCCTCCCACTGCCGGCTGGAGAGAACCAGGCAAATCTGGGGACTTCAGGTCAGCCCTGGAGGTCTGGAAACCCAAATCCAGAGGGCACTTCCCCCCGTGTAGAGGAACATTCGATCACGAAAGCTCTTGCAATCTAAAGGATAAAGCTTGGGCCAGGTTTGCCATCTCTGTAAGAACAGAGCCACTGTTTACACATAACCAGGGCTGCTTCTTTTTTTCCACCTGGAGCTCACCAGAACTTAGGTCCGGCGCCTCTCATATGGGCACCATTGCCATTCTAAGAGAACAAAGGAGGTGTTCATGGTGAGTTCTGGAACCTCTTTTTCTAGAAAAATAGCACTGCACATAGCTACCATGACCACAACAGTAATATATACTTCAGTGCAGCAGGGACACGGGTGGCGCTGTGGTCTAAACCACTGAGCCTCTTGGCCTTGCTGATTGGAAGGTCACTGGTTCGAATCCCTGTGATGGAGTGAGCTCCCGCTGCTCTGTCCCAGTTCCTGCCAACCTAGCAGTTCGAAAACATGCCAGTGCGAGTAGATAAATAGGTACCACTGCGGCGGGAAGGTAAATGGTGTTTCTGTGTGCTCTGGTTTCCGTCACAGTGTTGGGTTGAACCAGTAGTGGTCTAGTCATGCTGGCCACATGCGCCAGAAAGCTGTCTGTGGACAAACACCGGCTCCCTCGGCCTGAAAGTGAGATGAGTGGTGCAACCCCATTGTTGCCTTTGACTGGGCTTAACCAACCAGGGGTCCTTTACCCCCCCCCTTTATTCCAGTGCAATATAGCAGTACAGCATGTCAGACTGGGACCAGGGAGATCCAAGTTCAAATCCCCACTCAGCCATGAATCTCACTGGATGACACTGGACCTCTCACTCTTTTCTCAACCTGGCCTTCTTCACAGGATTGTTGTGAGGATATAATGGAGAAGAGAACTATGTATCCCTCCCTTAAGCCCTGTGGATGAAAGGTGGGGTAATATACACAACAGAAGCAGTAGTTACAGAAGTAAAATTGCATCCCATGCTCTTGGCTACATGTCTGATTGAGTCCCTTTGGGATTTAATACCCACCATTATGCAATGCGCAGCTGATCTACATGACATTTCACCTACCCTTTTCCTCCACATGTGCCCAGGCAGCTCAACAAACACAAACGAACTGCAAGCTTTCCTGAACATTTTTCCCGATGATTTCTTTCAGTCTTCGTTTCGTTTTAATGCAAGGGCACGAATCCTAGTTTATGTCATAATAGATGGACAACAATAGTGCAGTTTAATGAAAATAAAACGCTAAACAGTGCTACATGTTGACAGTGTCATGATGGATATAATTTGGAGTGTTTTCGATGGTGTGGATCTTTGAAAAATATCTGGCAAGCGAGCAAAGTGACAAATGTATTTAAGGATCTATGCCATTCAAATGATACCACCACATGTCTGCTTTGGAATTTTCCCTATTAAATGTGGGGGATATGGGCAGAAAAGCACTTGCATATTGTGTTCTTTAAACAACAACAACAAAAGTGTTTGCATTGTACAGGGGGATGTCTGTCAATAGCACCCAACATTCAACATCCTCAAAGATATGGCTTTGTAAAGTGCACAGATTGGGCGGCGGGCAGGGGGGAGGGAGGGAGGGAGATAGGGAGTTGATGGCAAAATGCATCGCTAATGCATCTATGAATCTCTCTTCTAAAAAAAATAATTACCCTATTTCCATACTACAGAGCGACGTGCTTCTACTCCCCAGCAAAAGTCGTATGCATTTAGGGGGCAATGCTGATCGCAGCTACCATGATGTAGAAGAAGTCACTCTGCCGATTTCCATGGCTCCGTTCCAGCTTGACATCCACTCCCCAGCAAATCAGAACCCACAAAATAACACGGCTGTTGTCTCTTTTCCCTTTCTCTCTGTCACCATAAGCGACCTCCTTGGCTGGTTTTTTAAAATTATTTTTTTCAAATGTTTTCCTGTTCTCCAAGTCCATCTGCTTTAAAAAGTATCCCATCTGAATGGTGACGGAATCATTAGCCACCCTTTTTTTTCCCACCATAAAGAAAGGCGCAGTCCCTCTGTTCTTTAAATTCTTTTTTTTTTTACCCAGTTCAGAAGCTCGCTGGATGCACTAATCTTGCTGAACACTTCAGTTTAGATGGTGTATCAATGAGGCATTCAAACCCAGCAGTTTATACACAAAAAAATTCTGTCTGCTTTGTAAAAGATTATCCTTTTATAAACACTCCACGGAAAACATAAAAGCAAATAGTGGACAGCGCATAGGACAGGAAAGATGTTAGCAGGGAGATTAATGCTGAATGGGTCGAAATGAATGGTGCTTACCCAAACGAGGTCCAGATACTTTGGCTGCAATGAAACATAAATAATGGGAATGACACATCGTTTATTCGGGATAATGAGTTGATCCGAAGTAGGGGCCTAGAACAAGAGATTAAAGATTAAATATCCATCTCCTGATGAATATCAGTAGCAAACTTTAACCTTTTCCTTCCAAAAGCACAATTTCTTTGAACAAATCATGTCAGCACAACACAATGAAGAAATGCACTGAAGCCAACTTAAATAGCCTTCCGACTTTAGTCAGGAGGTGTGGGGGTTAGTGGAAAACGCATCCAGCATTTTCTCTCTTGTTTTAAGAAAAGGATCGCTAAATATGTAGCTATCAACACTTTTGTGA